GATGCGACGGATCCAGCGACAAATACCTCCATGTTATTAAAAAGAAAAAAACGTCTTTGTCCATTTTTGTTCATTTTCAGGAAATGCAAAATTATGCAGTGGGCAGAACGATTTCATATTAATTATGCTTGTACCAATCAGATGCCGCAGATAAAGAGTCAAAAGCCTCAATTCAAGGGGCTGTCAAAACTATGTTCACGAAACCAGGTTACTAAACATAATGGTCTTTGTCATCTATTTCCTTTTTTTGTTTCTTTTATTGCAATACCTATTTTTGTAATTTTTACGGTTTCATTTTATTTGTCATGGAAGCGAACAGAAAATCTGAGTTTAAAGCACCAAACATGCTCAAAACAGCACATGCGCTCTGTTTTTAACCGTTTTCTACCCCGTTTCATCTTTGCTTACCTTACGTTTAAGTTACCACGCCTCCAAGCTGACTTTAATTATGTTTTTGCATTCAATACAAGGTTTTATGATTTATTAAAAAGTTTGGAAAAGAAGTGGTACATTTCGGCCGGAAACAAGCCTCAGATCAGTGGATGTTTATGAATATGTGTTACAATAGTGACAGTAAACATCCCCTACGGGGCAAGTTTAACTTAAGGTTCGGAGAGGTTCATTGGAAACTATCAATTCCTCCTCTGGCATTTGTAGTGTTTCTAAAGGTCACTTAGGTCTAAAGGTCTCTGGGGTAAGGAAATAACACGAGTACAGCACAACATGGAACTATTTAATGACAATGTGTTTGCATGCGTGTGCATGGAATGACCGCTGTAAACAATGCCTGTTACTATTCTCATTCATTCATAAGGCATAAAACTGTCTTAAAAATTCCATGTTGCTTGGCTAAATTTGTATGGCATATTCCACGCCCTCTCAGGCCATTCCCTTGGGATTTATCGTAGACTTTTCAAGCGCCGTTCTCTCGATGCAAACACGTTCTCATTAATTGATCAAAAATGACGTCATATGTTGTGAGAACAAAAAAGTGGCACACGGGACACATAGCCAAATGTACGTGTCACTGATGTGACGTCTTCGGTGATCAATTGCTGTAGAGACGCACGGCAACATGGAATATATCTGTTTTAAGAAAAACAAAAGATTATTGACGTGACCTATATGTCTGTCCCTCAATTGATCATAAGATTAGTAAGAACCAATCAAAATGCGGTAATAATTTGACTTAATGTATAAATACTACTCCACTCACCTGAATTATGACTATCAGCGGTCTGAGCACCATATCCATTGCTGCCTCCTGACCATGATCTGTACCCAGG